TCTATTTGTTTTGGGAATTTTAAAGGTTGAGCAAATCTAAGTAATGTGATAGGTAAGGATAATGAGCATTGATTTAATTTATTATTAGAAAGATATGAAAATTGAAGTATAGGTGCTTGAAGAAAGATTTGTTTTGCTTCAAACTTACAAAGAATTTGTTGTTGTTTTTTTGGTTGAAGTGTGAATGAATTATTTTGTATAATATACGGAAGTCCATTTTCTGTTTGAATATTCAATTGAACAGGAAGTATTTGATCTTTAATATTTCCAAAATAAAGAGCTGTTTCTACTGTTGATGAACAATTAATTCTAATTCCTATTTGAATATAATTATCTTGAAATATAATTCCTTCATTTTGTGTGAGAAGTTTTTTATGAATATATTTAACTTTCTTTTCTAACTCTAATGTACTATTAGAATGAAAGAAAATACACCCTTTATAGTTTTTTTGATTAGAAGAAGTAATATTAATTGATTTAGTATTAACATTCTTATAAGAGTGTATTTGTTGGGATATGTTTTGATTTAAGAATTGGTCATCATCTTTCTTTGTATCATAACTTTCAGTTTTATTATTATTTTGTTCATAAGAAGTTTTTTCAGGTAAATGAGTAATAGCAATATCATAATTATTATTCTTTATAATACTAATATATTCATAAGCTCTTTGTTGAACTTCAACATCTATATTTGATAACATCATTTGACATGCTTTGTAACATATTGGTTTAATACAATCAAATTCTTTTGCTAATTTTATTAAACAAGTTAATATTAATCTTTTAGTCATTGTATTTACAAATGGTAATTGATTAATTAAGTATAATGCTACTTTATTCTCAAAATGTTTTAATGATTCAGTAAATTCACCAATTATAATACAACTTATTTGTAAAAATACTTCATTTCCAAATCCATTTAAAAGAATTTGAATAATTTTTTGAATAGCAGAATGGGAATTATTTTTAATTGAATGAATAATTTGATCAGATATTTCTAGTCTTATAAATTCTGAACCAAGACAAAGAGTAGTAAGTATTGTATCAATATACCAATCATCTTGTTTATTATCTAATTCAGTTAATAATGAAATTTTTATAACAAGTTCTTCTTTTAATTCATTTTCACTCTTTTTAAGTAAAAGAAGA